CTTCGGTCCCGTAACCTGGCTCCTCTTCCAACCCAGCCCCAGGGGGTCCTGCCCCGCATCCCCGCTCTGCCTGCCCTTGCGCGCGGCCTTACTTTCGCAGGACAGGGCGCATTGCTTCGGGTGCTGCCCGCAGATCGTGGTGCAGTTGATGCATTTTTTCAGGAGCTTGTCGTAGTAGAAGCCGGCTCTCCTGTTGCAGTCCATGGACTCTGCGGGAGGGGAGGGAGACGAACACGGTGTCCTGAGCGTTTTCCTCCCCTGTCACTTGAGCACGAGGCTCCCAAACCCTTGCCCTCCCACCACCCCGGTGCCTGGTTTCATGCGAGGGGGAGCCTGCAACCGCTCTGAACAAGCTCATGGCTCCAACGGGCGCAGGGCGAGACCTACACGCTGCTACAAGTGTTGACAGCCTCTCCAGGGCTGGCAGGGTGACAGATCCATGGGATTTGCGGTGGTGTTTGGCCATACGATGAATACTGGGGAAAGGTATCTGCTGGCAGCTGCGTGGGGAGGGGGTGGTCCGCAGGCAGGGTTGTCCAGCCGTACCCACCTGCGGCAGGGAGCTCCTGCTTGCTGCTCTTAGAGCTGCTGCTGCTGCTGCCCTGGGGCTTGCACAGCTTTTTGGGACACACCAAAACCTGCCTGAGCGCTGGCTCCGGACCCTGGGGATGGCATCACCTATCCTCAACGGGGAGACGTGACTTGTCGCTGCGTGCAGCCCTGCCGCTGCGTGCAGCCCTGCCGCAGGGCTGGGTCCCCTGTGCCCTAGGACAGGGTGCAGCACTCCTAGACCACGGCTCGCTGGGGAGGGAAGGGGCCACGCGCAGGGTTGTGTACAGCGTTTGGGTGCAAAGTGCATCTATCTCTTTTCCTCCTCCTCAACCTGTTATCACTGCACCTTGGTGCCTGCCCCAGCACAGGGCTCGCAGTCCAGCCTTGCAGACGTACAGCTTGAGTTTATAATTATCCACAGCAACTGAACCTGACGTATCTCGAGGCCCTGCCTTTGGAGGGTGAGGTGTCACCGATGGGGGAGATACGAGCGTTGTGTTCCAGCTCTGGGAAGGCTCCCTGTGACCCCAGAAAGGAGAGGTACAGAGGCGTGGACAACTTGATCCTGGTCTGTGCTGAGCTCTTGCCAGACCCAGCCCATCGCTGGGAAGCTGTCATGTTCCCCAGCGTTTTTGGCTTGAAGCTCTGCTAAAGCTGCGCTGGCTCGGTGCCTGCCCTGTGCTTCATCCCAGGGCCTGATTTCCTCTCCCAGCTTTGCCCCATCGCTGCCTGCTCGGTCCAAGGAACGGCCCCGCGGGCTGCGGCCCCGCGATCGGCCGCCCGGCACTCACCGCACAGGGCAGCACACCTCCTCACTGTGGGCCGGCCGCATACGAGGCTGCAGGGGATGCACTGGCAGACGAGGGTGTCCCAGTACTGCTGATCGGTGCAGTTGTTCATGGCATCCCACCTGACGTGTGTCCCATCCATGGCTGCAGAACGGGAGGCAAGTAGGTACGGGGTAGCCCTGCGGCCACCTCGTCCCTTTGCTAGGGCTGGGATTCCTTGCAGGGCGATGCCCGGCTGTGCCCCAGCCCCCTCTGGTCCTAGGCTTGGGCAAGAGCATACAGCAAAATCTGGCTTAGCAAACTCTTCCAATTATAACCCTACGTGAGCGTGTCCTGTGCTGGTCCCTGGGGACGTGCAGGGAGACCACCCTGGCTCATAGGCGGCCCTGCGCTGCGCCCTGAGGGTCTGGGGACACGCAAAACTGCCTGCGGGAGTAAAAGTAGTGGGAACTGCTCCTGTCCTTATATGCTTTTCTGAGAAAACCGGAAATATGACCAGAATGACCACTGGCAACATCTTCTGAAACAATTTTTAATTCTGGAAACTTCTGAATTCCTCTGTGGTGTCAGGGCGGTTCGTGCCATCCTGTGTGTAATTTCTGACATCTCCCTTTGCTGTTCTGGCATCATAACGAAACCTGATTTTGATGTGTAAAACTCCCCTGAGCAGCAGAAGGAGGAACGTCTGTCTGGGAGAGCTTTAAGCACCGGTTTAACCAGCACCAGCTGGGATGCCCGGAGGTGGACGTGCTCTTGTCCCCGCGAGGAGCCGTTCGCCCCATCCTCCTCTGCCTGCGTGGGCTGGATGCGATGCCAAAGGCACAGGAGCAGGGCATCGGCAGCATCCCTCAGCAGCACAAAAAACTAGCTGACGACTTAAAATTTTAAAAATTAGCTCGCTAATAAGCACTTAACTTATTAGCAGCTGAAATATTTGTGTGTGTCCCCACCTTTGGGTGCTGCGTGTCTCTGTCTGCAGCCTCAGCTGTGCCACCGCAGGGTTTGGAGGTGGCCCAAGTGATGGTCTCAGTCCCTGGCCGTGCCCCTGCTGACCCCCCCACTGCTCAGCGGTACCTGCCAGCGTGCCGTGCCGTGCCGTACGCGGGGTCTGCGGCAAGCGTGACCGAGCAACTGCAGGAAGCGCTAACCCAGCACGCGGCCGCGGTGGAAATGTGCCGTTTGCGGACCGAGAGGGCTCGTGGGTGACCGCATCCCTCTGCGGAGCCGCGCTGGGCAGCTGCAGCTGTTTCCTGCTGGTGCTGACGGGACCCGAAAGCTTTAAAACTCCCCGATGCCGCAGCACGGCGCTGGCCTCTGCGTGCCCAAAGGCTGCCACATTGCCTCGGCTAGAGCCTCTGCGCTGCAGCCATTGCAAAGCCAAACTTTGATTTTTATACAGAACCCCCCTGTACTCTGGGGGGGGATCTCTCCTTCTGTCTCTCTAGTACTTGGGAGCATGCAGCTGTTGGGCACTTTGCATGTCCGTCTGTCCTGCCGTTGCCCG